AGCTAGGCTCTGAGAGTAGATAGAACACAAGGGGGGGTATGTTTAACTAGCACGGCGAGACAGAAATTTAAAGCTCGCGAGAACAAAATAAGAAGAGAAATGAATCGTCCAAGGGATCCCTCTCCTTACCTTGCAAAAGTCAATAGACTTGACTCCCCTACTACCAAGCGCCGGTCCGATGGGTGGACTCGGCGAGGCTCCTCCTGCGCCCACGATGAGCTTGACCATCTGGTCGGCGGCTGCGCGTCCTTTCGACATTATGGCGGGTGCGGGCGGCGCAGGCTGCTATATCCACATGCAGCTGCTTCTGGGGTGTCGTCGTCGTCGTCGTCGTCGTTCTGGTCGCGGAAATTGATCCTTTGCGCGGTTGTCGTGAATCGTGAATTTTTGACCGAAGGTTTCAATGCTTACTAGCGATTGCTTATATAATCACTGATAAGCAGGAGCTGGGGATTTTAGGTGCGATAAGACATGGTGGGGGGAGGCAGAAAAAAAACCATTTTCTGCCAAATATTTCCCACCGAAACCAGGTGATTGACATCGAGCTCCAACAACCCAACACACAGACGCATTAAGCACACGCATACACCCGCCCAACATGCCGTCGACTCATGAAAAGGACAAGCCGTGGGACACGCCAGACATAGACAAATGGAAGATCGAACCGTTCACGGCGGCCGACAACAAGGGCGGCACCTTCGTCGAGGAGTCCTCGTTCATGACCCTGTTCCCCAAGTACCGCGAGGTGTACCTTAAGGAGGCCTGGCCGCTCATAACGAAGTCGCTCGAGAAGGGCGGGATCGCGTGCGAGCTGAACCTCGTGGAGGGATCGATGACGGTGAAGACGACGCGGAAGACGTTCGACCCGGCGGCGATATTGGCGGCGCGGGACCTGATCCGGCTGCTGGCGAGGAGCGTGCCGGCGCCGCAGGCGGTGAAGATCCTCGAGGACGGTATGGCGTGCGACATCATAAAGATACGGAGCCTGGTGCGGAACAAGGAGCGCTTCGTGAAGAGGCGGCAGAGGATACTCGGCCCCAACGGCTCGACGCTCAAGGCGCTGGAGCTCCTGACGGACACGTACATCCTCGTGCACGGCAACACGGTGTCGGCCATGGGGCCCTACAAGGGCCTCAAGGAGGTGAGGAGGGTGATCGAGGACTGCATGGCCAACATACACCCCATCTACAACATCAAGGAGCTCATGATCAAGCGGGAGCTCGCCAAGGACCCGGAGCTCGCGACCGAGAGCTGGGACAGGTTCCTGCCCAACTTCAAGAAGAAGACCCTCAGCAAGCACAAGGTCCCGCACAAGGTGAACGACAAGAGCAAGAAGCCGTACACGCCGTTCCCGCCGGCGCCCGAGAAGAGCAAGATCGACCTGCAGATCGAAAGCGGCGAGTACTTCCTCGGAAAGCAGGCCAAGGAGAGGGCGGCGCAGGCGGGGAAGCTGGAGAAGCAGAGGGAGAAGGCGGAGGAGAAGAAGAGGGAGAGGGAGAGGGACTTTGTGCCGCCCGAGGAGTCGGGCCCGAAGAAGAAGAAGAGGAAGAAGTCCAGCAAGACGGAGGAGACGGAACCGGAGGCGATGGAGGAATAAGGAAGGGCGTTTCTCGATCGTCGAGATGGAACATGTGGAATTTGTTACCTGGTCTCTTTTTTGGTACGACGTGGAAATCAGGGCTGCGTTGCTCTATGTATTTTTGGCTGGCGGTGTATAATGGGAATGAATTTTAGATACCCTTCATTCGTTCATATCGTTCGCATATCGTGTGGTCTCCGGCTCCCATATACGCCAGAGCCACAGCGACGTGCCAATGGAAAAAAGGGGAGGCGTTGTCACTAGGTGATAGAAGAACAGTAGCGATGGTGATATATGTTTGGACATGTCTCATTTGATTTGCACTTCACCTCACAGCCTCGACGAAGAGTCCCCGTTTATCTCAATCACCAGCTTCCCAAACTGCTTCCCCTCGTCCATGACCTTGAAAAGGCCCTCGATTCCGTCGAGGTTATCCAGCCCCCGGACCACGCGGTCGACGACGGGAGTAATCTTCTTCTCTCTCACAAAGTCGACCATGTCCGCGAACTCCTTCCTCGACCCCATGGAGGTGCCCCTGAGGTCGATGTTCTTCAGGAACGCGGAGGCGGGCCAGTCCATCTTGGGCGCGACGGTCATTCCGTACTGAGCGATCACGCCGCCATGCTTCAGGATCCTGATCGTCCGCGCCAGGATGTCCCCTCCCGCCCCGTCAACGATGGCGTCTAGGAACGGCCTGTCCTTCGGAAGCATTGCCGCGAGCTCCTTTTCCCAGGTGTCGGACTTGTACGGCACCCCGCCCCTCGCGCCCATGGCCTTGGCCCTCTCAATCTTCTCTGGGCTGCCGGAGGTCACGAAGACGTTACATCCCATCGCGGCGGCGAACTGCAACACCGAGAGTGCGACGCCGCCGCCGATGCCCGTGACGAGGATGTTCCTCCCGGCCTCGGCGTTCCCGCTCTTCGTCACCAGGGCCCTCCACCCCGTGAGCCCCACGAGGGGCAGGGCGGCGGCCTCGACGGCCGACAGGTGCGCAGGCAGGCGCTCCACCTCGCCCTCGGCCACGACGACGTACTCCTGCGCCATGCCCAGCGGGGTGAACCTCGAGTTCCCCAGGACGATGACGCCGCGCGGGTCCTCGGGCCCTGCGGGGTCGGAGTCCCAGCCCCGGCAAGGGGTGAGGACGACGGGCTGGTTGAGGAGGGAGGGGTCGGCGCACGAGTCGCCGACCTCGACGACAGTGCCCGAGGCGTCGGCCAGCATGGGGGTGGCAAAGGAGATGCCCGGGTAGAGGTGGCGCCGGATGAAGAGGTCCCGGTGGTTCAGGGAGGCGGCGCTTATGCGCACGAGGAGCTCCTTGGGGCCCGGAGTCGGTTTGGGGACATCGTAGGGCCGGAGGCTAGAGATATTTGCTCAGCACATATATATAATCTATTTTGAACTTCCCCCCTTTCCTCTCGCGGCGTCGTGTTTGGGGGTGAGGTGAGTGGCACATACGGATAGTAAACCTTACCGGGCTTCCCTTCGACCTGCTGGATACCGAGAGCTTGAGGCATGGTTAACGCGGCGCGTGCTCGTAGCATCAACTGGGTTGATGGTTTAGCTCAATTGATGGTTTCACTCAACTCGACGCTATATCGGAGTCGCGAGACAACGAGTACTTGTACGAGTACTTGGCGCGAATGTGGAGCTGCTAGCTCGGCTCATTGAGGAGCTCCCGCATTTATGATGACGCGAGCTTGATTTGTAAGAGGCCTTGTCCCTGCCCCTTCCCGCTACAGCGGGGAAGCTTGTGCCGAGGTTATCACGGTGGACTGCTGCTCGGGCCACAGGAAGTACATGGCAATATTACTTGTAGCCGTTAGCACACGCCGATCACGCTTGTGAGCACTTCCTACGAGTATTACGAGAACGGGACGTCGTGTTGTTGCATGGCCGGCAGGGTCGACGCAGTGATCATAGTATTCGATGTACCTACGAGTATGCTTGCTCGTAGGTGACCCCGCCTTGCGGCACCCCACGCCCCACTCTCCCGCACCCACATCCACCATGATACCAGCCGGCACCAGAACTGGCACCAGCGTCTCTGAGGACAAGACGACTAGTTATTTATCAAAACAACGGCGCTTCAGATAGAAGAGCCTATGACTAAATACCTACAGTGGATAACATTACATAACAAATCCAATCCCAAAGCTTATAGGGCTTAGCCCCCGCAGGTACGGCCATCATCATTGATTCCTAGCCTCCTTCACTAACATCCCGACGGACCAAAGGCAACTGGATGTAGTGGTGAGATTTGGCAGTTTCTCTTACAGCGCACTTAGGAATCCATACCCACGAAGGAATTCATAGCAGGTTCGCATGTGGCCAGGTGGGAGCTCCTAATGCCCCATATATCATCTCCGTCCTCCCTGAGCGCACCCAGAAGGTTTCCAGCCGGCCGCCACCGGCGGTAGTCTCAGTGTATCACAAACTGCGCGATCCAGCAAGCGTTCTTGCCGTCATTCTCCTAACAACTAGCGATGGCCTGCGCTACCAAATTTCCATGGAAAAGAGTTCTTACTGAACTGTTCGGTAAGCTGCCCAGATGCTGTCGCTGTCGCTACCCTTGCGAGCGGTTGTCACTTCGATCTGCCGTATCAAGCCGGGCCTATAGCTGTCGAGGTGTTGCTAAGGGTCACCGGGTTGTTTGGCACCACAACACGATGCAGGCCATAACTTGAATGATCTAATTGATGCAGCGCGGCGATGGCGTTAATACGGCGATGGGGACCCGTCGTTCTCATAGAAATATACGAGTACCCGTCGACATTATGTAAGGTAGGGTCATGTCTGTATTAAGTAATAGGATAGACAGATGTCAGCAGTTGGGTCTACCTATCCAAATCCGGCGCCTACTAGCCCCATAGGGTGGCATCGACAGAGCCCGAACTGAGACCCCGAATTAAGACCCCGAATTGAGACCCCGAACTGAGACCCCGAACTGAGAGTCCTAAGAGTCCGAACTAAGAGCCCGAACCGAGGGCCCGAAATGAGAGCCCGAAATGAGATAGGGGGTCCAAATTAAGAGCCCGAATTGAGAGGTCTTGGGGGGCCAAATTAGGAGCCTGGATTGAGAGATCATTGAGCGTATACTTTAGAGCGACGGCCGTCGCTGTATTGGATGCCCGCGGGGATGGGTGCTGAGTGATGCTATAAGCGTAGCCAGTAAGGTCCAAGACTCCTTCCAAAAAAGGAAACCGGATTGGGGAAAGTGACACCTGCTGGGGTGGGAGAAGACGCCTGCCCGTCGATGATTCGGACTCCGGCGTAAAGCATACGAATAGGAGTAGTGTATACGAGAAACTTTGTCTACAATGAAATCGGAGCTGATGTTAGAAGAGGAGTAAATCAAATTCAGATGTGAAAGAGTAGGAGCAGAAGGCGTGGGCGTATAAAAAAAATGGGGCAAAAAACGAATCTCCCACACAGGGAATCGAACCCCGGTCTCTGCCGATTTCTGATGACATTGGTCATGAGAGGGCAGTATGATAACCCCTACACTATATGGGATATCTTCTTTAGATGTATTTTCATACCCCTTTGCCACCACATGTACGTACCTTGTCCTCCACACCAAAGTGCCCCAATGCATGGTGATGGGCTTCACAATCCTGGACGGCGAGCTATCCAATCCCACCCCACACCTGAATCCCGCCCCCGCTAGTACCGTTAGACCCTTCCGCAAGACACATGGGGACAGGTTCCCGTCGCATTCATCGCCATCCCATCACGCTAGCACCAACCATCTTATAAATCAGGATGGCCACTTTTCATCCCATCTCCACAGGTGGCCCACATCGCCGATGATCCGCAAGTATTTACTTTAAAGGCCGGCTTCCTCTCGTTTTGTGTGACATTCCTCTCCTCTCGCCATGTCGATTCATCGCAGCGCCCGTCTGGAACATCGCGTCTCCCACCCTTGCATTCGGTGCGTATATGCTCCCCCCCCAAAGAAGGCGACGCAATGACGTGATCGTTCGGAAATGGCTCAAAGCCTACACCCCCGACTCAATGAACCTATCCCAGTCGAGCGCCCCCCCTGCCCCCCCTGCCAGCGTCTGCTACCTGCTCAGGCATACATAACAAGGTGGTTCCGGCCGTTTCCTACTAACACAAATTCCTCTTCCTAGCTAGATAAACCCGCCCTCCTTACTGCGTGAGAAACAATGGCGACAACATTGGTTACCGGAGCTGTCTTCGGCGCGGCCCTCGTCGCGGCCGGCGTGCACGACCCCGCCGTCGTGATCTCGCAGTTCAAGTTCGAGAACTTTGACATGGTGCAATCGTTCCTAGCCGCCACGGCGACGACTAGGTAGGTACCTCCCAGGCTCACGCGCTCCTCAATATATCTATATATCGCTAACCTCGTCGCTCAGCGCCGTCGTCGTCGCCCTAGATAAGCTCGGCTACATCTCCCTCAAACCTCGCACCGCATCCTCCCTAGGCCTCTTCTCGGCGTACGACGGGAACGTCGTCGGCGGCTCGCTCCTCGGCGCGGGCATGGCCCTCTCGGGCGCCTGCCCCGGCGTAGCCTTCACCCAGGCCGGCCTCGGCCTCCGCTCGGGCCGGTTCGCCATCCAGGGCGCCCTGGTCGGCGGCGTCATCTACACCGGCATCATCGCGCCCGCCATCGCCCGCCGCCGGAAGACCATCACCCCGCCCGCGCACCCCGGCGCCATCCACCACGTCGCCCCCGTCTCCCGCGCCGCCGCCTTCATCGGTACGGAGGCCATCTACGCCGCCGTCATCGCGTCCGCGATCCTCCTCGGCCCCCCCAGCCCCTTCCGGCCCCTCGTCTCCCCGGCGGTAGGCGGCGTCATCCTCGGCAGCGCCCAGCTCCTCTCCCTCCTGCTCCGCGGCTCCCTCATCGGCGTGTCCACCGTCTTCGAGGACGCCGGCCGCTACGTCTCCTGGCTCACTAGCGGCGCCGACACCAAGAAGGCCCCCAAGTCGTACACTGCCACCCTCTTCGCCCTGGCCATGACAGCCGGCGCCTACGCGCTGGGCCTCGCGTACCCGAGCGTCGCGCCGGCCGAGGACGCGCGGGTGACGGCCGTCAATGCCATTGTTGGCGGTATTCTTTTCGCGATTGGAGCTAGGATCGCCGGGGGGTGCACCTCCGGACACGGGATTAGTGGGATTTCCCTCCTGTCGGTGTCGAGTTTCGTCACTATCGCGAGTACTTTTGCAATAGGCGGGGCTGTCGCGCTGTGGGCGTACTAGAATGAGTCATATGTAATATGATGTAGTGGATTCCTTGTACATACAATTATATAGAATATATCTGTCATGACTACTCTTGACGCAAAAGACATCTTATAATCTCTCCAACCTTACTCCTCCACCTAATAATACGAATTGACGTTGAACGAATCGACAATATGACCCGCCACAACATCTCGTCCGGCTCGGAATTCGAAGCCAAGATCGGCTACTCCCGCGCCGTAGTCTGCCACCCCTGGGTCATCGTCTCTGGCACCACAGGGTTTGTCTCACTCCTTCACTCCCCCTCTTCCCACCTATCTTTATCTCCCCTTGATCTCTTTCCACCATTTCCCCAGAACTAACTAGTGACTAACCCTGCCGCCCTTCCCCCCCAACTAAAAAGCTACGACTACGCAACCGGCGTCCTCCCTCCGGACGTCACTTCCCAAACCCGCAACATCATCTCTACCGTCTCCACCACCCTCGCCTCCGCCGGCGCCGACCCCTCCGACATCGTCCGCGTGAGGTACATCCTCCCAAACAAGGCGGACTTCCCCACCATCTGGCCCCTCCTGAGGGAGTTCTTCGGGCTCGCGAGGCCCGCGGCCACGATGCTGGAGGCCGGGCTCATGGAGGACGCCATGAAGATCGAGATCGAGGTCACCGCCATGATCGGGGCCGGCCCGACGGACGTCCCGCCTCCTGCCTGAGGAGCTGGACGCGACGGGATGCGGCAATTTGCAGAGTTCGTCCGGGTGCGGCGGACTTCCGTGTTAGTGGCACATGCAGCCAAGCGCCATGGAGCGTGAGTGGGGATTTGGTAGGATAGCAATCATGTCACACTGAGAACGGGTGTTGGCACCGTTTGTACAGGCCAAGATGTATTGATCCTGTCTACGTTAACGTTGAACTGACGGTACCTATTGTGGCTCCCCGTAAAACCCCTAGACATGAAGGTATAAAGGGGACCTTCAACGGATTCTACCCAGCGTAAACTCAACCCTGCCGAGGGCTGTACTCATAGGTGTCGAATCTAGTGTGCTGGGAAACTAAAACATAGTAACAACCGAAATAAAGCGGAAGGGGTATCTGATACAACTCCAGACGCAGGCGACCACTAAAGACTCCAGAAAGCCGGGCCAGGCCTGGCAAAAACAAAATCCCAACACCAACCAAGGCCCGTCATAAACTCCCGAGAAACCACGCCCCCTCCTACCCGATGCCCGTTGTTGCCATAACCTAGGTGAGAAGTTCCTTGATGAACTTCGCAAAGCTGCCCTTTGCCAGGGACTTGAAATCCTCTTGGAACGCCGTCCCCACCAACTGCCTCTTTTTATCTTGGATCTGCAGAACGCTCTCCTCAACTGCGTTCTGAATCACGAGTCTGTACACCTTCGTACGCCGCGTCTGGCCCAGTCGGTGGACTCTGTCGACGGCCTGCTCCTCCACGGCGGGTGCCCACCCTTGGCCGACTTAGCAAAAAAAACGTTATTCGGGGAACAATACGCGAGTCCGGACTTACATGAATCGGATACAATGACCGTATCTGCCGCAACAAGACTGATGCCTACCCCGGCAGCCCGCAGACTGGCCAGCATGACCTTGGACTCACCCTGGAGCGACCTGACAGCCTCGTCTCGGGCCTGGGTGGACATGGTTCCGTCAATCCTTGTATGCTGGATGCTTTCTTCGTCCAGCTGGCGGGAGATAATGTCCAAGAACGAAGTCCACTGTGAGAATATTACAATCTTCGACCCCTTGACGCGGAGCCGCTCCGTGACGAGAGACATGAGAGCCTTGGTCTTTGCGCTGTGGTCGTTATGGGCCGGCATTTCATTCTCCAATTGAGGGACATCATCCATCTCCGTAATGTCTATCGCGCTGACGCCATCGTTGCACAGCGGGCACTCCGGCTTGTCTCGCAAACGGGTCAGAAGGCAATGCCCGCAGAATACATGCATGCAAGGAATAATGACCGGATCGCTTTCGATGTCAAGGGCCTCACTGCAAACGCCACACGCAATATTGGCTACCAGTGACAAGCGTAGCACCTCGCTCAAATGGGCGCCGGCCGGCTTCCCGGCCGACGCGGAAAGGAGGTCATCCAACTCTTCCCGGTGCTTCTCCATACCCTTCTTTCTGCAGAGGGTCCAATGATCGCACATTTGCCGGAGTCGAAGAAGCCGCTCCAGCAGATTGTTCCAAAGCACGTAGTTTCGAGTTTTGAAGAACAACACGGCTGCTGCCTGGGCATCCTCGCTAGAAATGTCCATGTTAGTCGCCGGGTGCAAGATTAAAACGCGTGGGGAGGCGGGTTAGGACAAACAAGAGCTTCTGGTACATCTCTTTCTCCGCCTCGGAGAACTCAATGCGAACCAGCTCCTCCTCTTTTTCTGGCAGCTTTAGATTAATGAAGCTCATATCCTTAGTTCTTCGGAGACAGATTGTCGTCATGACGTTCTGAAGAAACTCGTGATCGGTTTTCAATCGGCTGATGATTACCTTGGGGGGTTTCCCTAGGGTCGCAGTGGCACCGATGAACTTGGCTAAAGAGAAGATGTCGGTTTCGGTGTTGATTCTTGAAATCACGGGCATTAGCATGTCAATGATTTAAGCGTTTTCGTTGCTAGCGGTGCTCACATTGGAGTTCCGGTGCAAGCCCAGCGAGACTTAGCCCGTAGTTTACAAGCTGCTAGACTTGCAAGACAGTTCGGGTTGCGAATGTTGTGTCCTTCGTCTAGGATGACACGTCGCCATCGGACTTTGCTCAGAGGTCCCTCGCTATATGCTTCGTCCCCGAGCTTATTGAAGGTCGTAATCACAATGTCATTACGACCAAGCTGCTCGGGGGTGGCATGACAACCCGGGCCGTGGAACCTGAACACTCGTGGAGCGTGGCTCCATTGGATATGGCGTCGGATTTGGCTTTCCCAGTTACTCAGTACACCCTTTGGGGCGACGATCAAGGTGGGGCCGTCCTTGGGTCCCGTCAAAATCAGCGCGATCATCTCCAGCGTCTTTCCCAAGCCCATGTCGTCCGCAAGGATCCCGCCTGAGAAGGGTTCTTGCGCGAATGGGAATGTAGTCTCCGGGGCTTCATTAGTGCCAAGACCGGCTGGACCACGTCTCCAGAACTGTAAAAGTCGGGATGACGGGCCAGAGGGTGAATGCGGTCGCTCCATGTCAATCATCCATTGAAGTGCCTGCGATGCCCAAAGTAAGCATCTGTGGGATCTGCTCGGGTGTGGCGGGTCCAAAATCTACTTACCTGGCTCTGGTGTTTTAACAAATTCGTCTTCAGCTGA